ATGCTTGACTTCAGTGTTCTACTGGGAACCACGTTTTTACGATAAGTTCAATTCGGGACCCAAATGGACAAATTCAATTGTTTTGGTTATTTTCTTTGTTTGGTTTATTTGTCTGATTTTGTAAATTTCTTCACACTCCCAAAATTGTTTGAGCTGAAAAAAAAAAAACATTCCACCTTTAAGGCGAATATCAAAGTGTCTATATTTTTGATACAGATACAAAGAATATACTGGTATTGTGTGAAAAATTGTTCATAATTTGTCGAATCACAACTAAAAGAAATGCGAAATTAAAAATAATAGAACAAGTTTGATTGCCAGATAAATTACAAAGATGTTCTTGGTAATATATTCTTTTGATTTCCTCTCCGTTTTCTCACAGAACAGAGAAAAATCGCCAAAAATTAACTCGAATTTGAACTTACTCGATTCAACGTAAAAGAAATTCACAAGAATTAATACCTAACTTGTTCATACTCTTTTTAAATAGAATATACGTCATAAGGTTACGCAATTTTCCACACTCTATACACTTCAGCCTCTGCGTTACCATGGTTACGGCAAATCTTTCTTTTTCACCACAATATTTAAACTACTTTCAGAAAGGTACTGCCGTGGAAAAAAGCAAGATTTATCTAAACCATGCTAATAAAGAGGGGAAAGTGTGGAGAGATGGAAAATTGTATAACCCTGAGACTACTATTCTATTTACTAAGAGTATACTTATATATGGTACAGCCGTGTCTAAAGTTCAAATAGTACTTTTTATAAACAAAAACTGTTGCAATTTCTGAACTAGTACATAGTTCTATTGACTCGTATCTTGTCTCAATCGATAAAGAATGAAAAATACATAGTAAATAATTCGCCATATTCTTAAATTGCAATCTTAATTGCGTAAACAAGTATATGACAAACATTGTTACGTTTTGTACATAAAGACACTACAAGTTCTAAACTATTAATTCTATCATCTTAAACTGGGTCTTATTCAGTCCAGGGTAAAACAAAAACAAATTACCTCATTTGTCAGAAGAGCAATATTGAAGTTCTTCTCCTCATTTACCTTCTTTGCAACAAAATTCGACGCATGAGGTTACGGAAATTTTAAACTTAGTAAGGGAAAGGACACATAAAAGTTAAGACCTTTTCCTCCCTTAAGTTTAAATCTTATAATCAAACAAATTTTAATGTTTTTAATATGGGTTTTCTTTAACGATGATTTGTCAAATTTGGAAAATGTTTTCGTTTTCCCTCACTTAAATATTCATCTGCGATTCCTAATATGTAAATTTCGTAAATTTATCTTCAAAAAGGATTGCAAAAATGCATTCTTCTAGAATATTCTGTATACTGAGAATGGTAAGCGCGTCCTGAAAAAATTAATCCTAAAAAAAATCATTTCAGGTATTTTTTTTAAAATTATTTTTCAATATAGTCTCCTTGTATCTCGAAACATTTCCCCCAATGCATTTCCAACTTTTTTTTAAGCGTCCGAAAAACAAGAAGGTCCTCCCTTCGGTCGATGGTCATTTCGTTCGACGTGAAATTTTGGTCTGACGTGCCTTTTTTACAAGTTTGGGAATAAAAAAATGCCACCAGGGGGATAATTTCGTAAATTTGGTTGATGCATTAATGGTTTGAATTTTATTTCAACCGCATTAATTTTTACCACAGAAACTTCTGAGGTATAGTACACAGAGTACACACTATAATGTTTCGTGAAATGTTCCTTTTTCCTGTTTAATCCGTCAATTAACATTTATTCCGTCATATGAGCCGTTATTTTTTTTTTTATAAGTGGAATTAGTCCATTTACTGCTAAAAAGTAATTTATTCATTTAGTGATTTTTAATAACCATTGCCACATTATGATATTTCACAAAATTATAGTCTTAAAAATATACTCAAATTGATTAATCTTTGCCAATATCTTTAAATTCATTCAAACAATAATTCTTAAAAGTCTTGGACTTATACCATTCTCCAAATGAACCTATTCCACTTTCAAAAATAACGGTACACATGCGTGCTTAACCACATACGCTTTAAACTGCAAAATTACACATGTGGCAAACTCAAACGTTTATAAAAACGTAGAATATAAATTTTAATGACAATACACCAGGCAATATAAACATGGTCTTGAGTTCAATGTCTATAACTCTCATAAAAGCTAAGAATACTTTTGGAAGGGTTATCAGGTCGAAGTTGTTAGAGCCAGCGTGGCTTCTTTATTTTTAATACATCCACCAACGCACATCTTTTATGTTTTGTTTTTATAAAATTCAGGCAACGCGCAGGTGTTTTTGGGCCATGACTAGCAATTATAGGAAAAGAAAATTATTTTATGAAGGTTTTATCAAAGTTAATATGTGCCTATGGACATCAACACCTTAAAAGCCTTTTTTGATGACTGGGTTTGCTTCGCTTAAAAAGAAATTAGAGGCAAAAGGATTATAATTTACGATTTTAGTACGAAGTTCTGGGTAATAAAGTTTAAATTAATAGAATTATGAGAATAATCTTTTAAGAGCAGTTTCTTTTCACGTGGAGTACAGAAAATGATAAATAAATAAAGGAAAAAAATATTAGCTACGAGTAGAAAAATATTGAGGAATGCCTTGAATTTAATTTTCGAATATACTACCAGTTGTCCACTTTGCCTAAAAATCGCTATAACTTATAAAATAAGAAGTGTTTTTTAAGTGTTTGTTTTGGAAGAGATGCCAAAAAATAAGTGACCACAAGAAATTGGGCCATAGCGGTACTTTTCTGTAGTTTTCAAAAGCTCACCGTACCGTAATCTGCATTTTTTTCTCACAAAACCACGAAAAAAACCATTAATTGGCATAAGGCATGCTGCTAAGGATAATGAGGTATTTTCTGCAGAAAAATTTAACTATTATGCGTCAGCTGTGTCGCATAATAATTAATCAAAAGACTGTTCGTCATCCTGGACTTATCATGTATGTAAACACTTCATAAAAAGAACCGCAACCGAAAATTCTGGTCGTTTAAAATGAAAGCGTATCAAATTAAGAATGAAGTTCTGTCTCAACTCTGAAATGTGAGATCGAATCAGTAATTAACTTCAGACAACCGCGAAGATTTCTAATTTGGTACCCCTTGCCTTTCCTGATAGACAAAGAGACAGGCTGACATATGACCTACAGAATATATTATTTATTTTTTTGTCTGAGAGTAGGAGGAAAAAGGAGTCGAACACATATTAGAGGGGCACATCACCTGGGCGTGTTGTAAAAATAAGTAGAAAAAAAAAATACGGCTGGATGAAATTACTATCAAAGCAGTGGCATATGTTTTTATATGCATGGGGATTGAAAAAAAGGAAAAGAAAGAAAGAAATTTGATTCTGGCATACATTTTTATGGTATACCAGATGACGAACTATTGAAATTCATACAGTTATGTTTTAAAATTAATGAAATTTCTATATTACAAATAATTGTATTTTAATATGGAATAATCTAGATTTACGAAGAGACATCATCCTGAGTGTTCTGAAAAATCAACAAAATTTGTAAATTAGATGTAATTTAAAAAAAAAAGATCTAGTTCAGCGAAAAATCTGCAACTGGAAATGAATTTCACAAGCAGGAACATAAAAGCTACAAATTAATTTAATACTGATCAAAAACTATAATGGTCAAATCAAGGTCGGGGTTTTATTGTTAATTGTTTTGCGATTATATATCATCTATACTCAATAAAATGGATGGTGCACCATCTTGGAAATATCATCGCAAATCGCTAAACTGAAATATTAAGCGTAGATTTCCCATTAGAACTTTCACTACCGATTTGTTACCGCAGATCTCGATAAAAAAATTTTCCACCGATTCTGCAAAGGGCCAGATTATTATAAAGGTCGACTCAACGTAGGGTGCTTGAATTTAAGGAAGCCCACCGAAATTATTAAAAAGCTGTGATTAATTTCAATATAAGTATAAGAATCGTGATTTGTTTTGTTTTTTTAAAAAAAAGATGTATATAGCATTTAAAAAATAATTAACAGGAAAGTAAGTTTATATAGAGACTTCCAGCATTTGCAACATTATCTAGGACACTTTTTAGAAATATAATATGAAAATGTTTTTACTAGGTGTTAATCTTTCAAATGATCTTAAACACTTTTTTTATAATTAAACTCTGACTATTTAAAAAAAAAATAGAGGTACGTTGCAAACAGAATTTTTGATAAATGTCTTAAATCTTTCTCTTTACATTTCTGTGAGCTCTCTTCACTATTTAATTATAAGTATCGCATATTAAATTTGTTTAATACAAAATAGACATAAAAAGAATAACATTCAATTACGATGACTAAAAAGTAAGGTACTCTAAATTATTTTTGATCTTATTTTTCAGGCTGTTTTTGGGACCCATTTGTATTTATTATAGGTTTATAAACCAATACCTAGTCTGGGAGAAGAATATAGGAGCTTTACTTATCGTTATTTGACAGAGATCATCATCTAAAATTTTTACTAATAGTGTCTCTCTGTAGCAACTATAATTATGAACGATTCTTAATGTAACAAGTGAATAAATAAAGATTGAAATAGAAAACGAAAAGAATACGTTTCAAATAAATAAAATTTTCAATACATCACTGCAAAAAATGAAGAGTTTATAAATCGATAATTTACAAACGGAGATCGTTACTTAATATTTTTACACACTTTTTAAATTGTTTTTTTTAATTTACTTTTAAAAAAAAAACTCAATTAGCTTTCCGATGTTTACAACCATTTTAAAAACCGATTTCTCCAAATTCACTGAAAATATCAGCCTGATAATGTTTCCAATATGCTCTTCAATTATTCTCTGGTGTAAAAATAAAAACTCATCAATTTTATTATTCGATTCAGTTTACGGTAAGCAGATTTCATTTAAACAAATGACAAGTTTATCTAAGGATAATTTTTATATTAAAAAAAAGTAAGAATTTGAATTTACGAAAAACTTTTACTTACAGAACAGTCGTTTCAGAAGGTACCGCGGGTACTTTGTCTAATTGCAAAAACATGCATCTCACAGTAGATCTAAAGCAAAGACATCTGGTGGGGCATTCAATATCAGATCCCTCGATCAACAATACTGAGCATAAACAAGCCAACAACAACCGTACCCATCCGTAAAAACACCGAGGGGTCTGCATCACGTTTTTGTCACGAGGCGGTATGTTTTACCCGAATATTTACTTCTAGACGTGACCAAGTGGGTCACGTCCCTTCCGTTTACAGTTAGAAGTGAGGAATAGTGATTCACAAGAAGGTTACAAACTGAGAAAGTAATCCAAGAATAGAAAGATGGGAGAAGGAACTTTTGCCGTCGCCAAGATATCGCCAATGAAGCGAAAAAAATATTATGAATATATATGTCAAACGATAATAAGAAGTAAAGAAAAAAAAATGGCATCTTATTTTTATTTTAGTGAAATGAAAGAAAATAATTAGATCTAATGCAAAATTGTCTTTCCAGGAAATAACTCAAAATAATTAGTATGCTTATCTATTACCAAAACATTTGATTCAAGTGTATAATAATATTGCGTTAATAGGAAGTGTAGAAATTGAAATTCGCTCAAATGATTTTATTTTTATTACCGAAGTTAAAAAGCAGACAAAAAATTAGAGCCATTGTCTGCGGTTTAGTTAAAATCCAAACAAACTCTGTCTTCGCAATTTCAATGAGAGATGAGTAAAAATTTATTTCCGAATTTTGTACAGCTGTGGTGGCAGATATATAAATATGTACCTATATCTTTAATCCAAAAATTTCTTTCTGTGCTTTATTTTATTTAAGATCCAGTTTTTTTCAACAAAGAAAAAAAAAAGAAATCGGTCAAGGTTGGATAGGATAATTGGCATTGTTTAAATTCTCATTTGATTTTGTTTAAATTTTCAGGTTAAACAAAACACTTGTTAAAATTATTTGACACGTGTTTTTCTTTATTATTATTTTTATCTTTGTGAAAAAAATTATTTTTTCCTGGGAATCAAAACTGGAGATCCTCTGGAACTTTAAAAAAAATCACGCGTGGAAAAACTTTTTGTGGAAAGAATGAACCACGACGCTGATCTTTATCTACTACTTTCTCATTAATTATTAAGACGTAAATACTTTCAGTGGTCCTTTTCATCGAATGTCAAAAGTCATTCAAAAAGGTTCGAATCGATTCTTTACTTAGACTGATAGCAAAATTTTTGACCTTATTATTGATTCACAAAGGTCAATTTCAAATTTCATTTCTTTGAATGTATATTAATGAGTAGTACCTAAAAATTCGTCATAATCTACATTTAGCGTGACCTGAAAATTGACCTTGAAGTAGCAAAAAACTTAAATTTTACTCGACTTGTAAGGTCGTTAACTACTTTCGCCGAAACTAAACAAGTATGTTGTTGGAAAAGTGGCCTTATGTACTGCAGAAAAAAAATCCATTCACAGGTCTATGGTGACTGAGTCAACTTGAAAAAATATGGCCCTGAAATTTGACGATTTAGTCTCTATCTAGAATTTACTGATAGGCAAAACTTACTCGTTGTTATCTAGGAAGGTGATATAATATTCCATGTGTACGTTTTTTACGCTGAATCATATGGAATCACTTCCAATTCGATATCTCTAATAGTTAAGAAATTATTTAATTTTAAATAGAATTTCGAAAATTTTGACTTCTCTACATATTTATGCGCCGAACATTGTTATCCAGGCAAGTGAGACATTGATTTCAATGAATTATATAAACAATCGATAAGAAACTACCCAATTAACTAACAGCATGATAGTATAAAAGTTAAAATACGTAAGTGCAAAAATTTTATAACTGTACTTTTTATACATAAATCTTTTATAATTTTTAAACTGTTAGTTGAATGAAGTGTTCTTATCGATATCGTTACTTAAGTTGGAAAATGTCACACTGGCTCAAAAGACCCAATTACTCACTATTTCTGTCGTCTATCCATCTACGAATGGATTCGATTCTCAAAATTGGCATTTTATTTTTTAATTGTCTTTTTTCCCCATCTGCAATGTCTTTATTAGTATATCTAATGTAATTTGAATCCTGTTGGAAAAAATTTATGGTTTATTCAAAAGTTGAGATAGTCTTTCAAGACTTACTATAGTTATAAATCCCTATTGAATTTATATGAGAATTCAAATTTTTGAGAAAAAGATAAAATAATATTTCTTCAAGTTAAGATCGATTTCTTTCTATCTTTCTATAATTTTTTCGAAGGCAATAGCTCATTGTGCAGTTCTAGGACGACATAAATAAAGCACTAACACTACTATAATATTACGCATTATATTTTCCTAGCAAGTAATAACGAGTAATTACATGCATCTAAAATAACTCCTTTAGGTATTACCCTTTTTTTTCCAGCCGTTCCAAAGGACACTTTTGAAGGAATACAAAATTAAGTTTCAATAATATTGCAAGAAACCAAAAATAATCTAGAAAACATCTTACAACCTTAAGATTTCTACCAGTGATCAACTTTTAGTCTTTCAAATAGATCTCTGGAGTTAAATGTTCATCTACCGTATCTTCCCCTTCAAATAAAAGCATTGCGAAGCGCTTGAAATATAGTGTTGTTGTTGTTGTAGTTCATTTACGTCGCACTAGAGCTGCACAATGGGCTATTGGCGACGGTCTGGGAAACATCCCTGAGGATGATCNGGACTTTTGAACGTTCTCTCGCTCGAGATTTTTATATATTATTTCATGTGTTGAATATGTGTGTGTGTATATTTGTTTGTGTTGTGGAAACGAAGAGTTTGAATAAATAATAGTTTCCAACCTGGACTATTTATTTGTGCCACACATTACAATCTCTGGAGTTAAATGTTCATCTACCGTAACTTCCCCTTCAAATAAAAGCATTGCGAAGCGCTTGAAATATAGTGTTGTTGTGGTTGTAGTTCATTTACGTCGCACTAGAGCTGCACAATGGGCTATTGGCGACGNGAGATCGGGAGAAAAAAGGTATGTGTTCTCATTTTGTTTCACATCCCAGGCCATAATATTTCCGAATAATTTTTCCAACCGGGAAAAAAATTAACACACCAGTGTTGCAGAGAAGGGAATGTTTATTTTTCATGAATATTGAAATATTTTCGAATAAATTTTCCAACCTGGAAAAAAATTGAACACGCCCGTGTTGTTACAAAAAAAGGGAATGTATTGTGAATACATGTGTATTGTGAATGTTTATTTTTCATGAATATATATATATATATTGTTAATTTTACATTGTATTGCAGCTGTTACATTAAAAATTAGATTGACATTTTAGAAAATTAAATAATGATTCTGTGTGCAGTGTTAGACAATGGATGCCTAAATACAATAATGAACTGTACAGGCTGTATAAAGAGGCAAATATTTTAAACCACATTAGCATCAAATTTTCTGGACTGAATCTGTGAAATGGTTCCATTCTCCTTAACAATCATAAAGTTTTATTTTTAACCGATTGGAACACGAACCAGAGGCAAGCCCGAACATCCGTAAAACTGACGAGAAAATAGCGATTCTGAAAAAATACGAGATTCTAAAGAAAGCTTTGTCACGCAAAGTGCTGTCGAGTCATTAAAGAAGAATATTAAATAATAGTTCAGCATGTGTGTTTCTACTATAAAATTGCACTAAAATCAATGAAAGGAAGTATTTATATAAAGACAAAATAAAAATATGCAATTACTCGATTTTCCTTTTTCCTTACTTTAAAATGGCCTAATTCTCAAAATAGTAACTTTAAAAAAATAACAAAAATACCAAGAATAAAGTTAATATTCTTCATGAACGGGAAATGCCCTGAAGCAAAACCTTTTTGTTTAGAAATTTTTTAATAAAAAGAAAGAGTCAGCCTTATTCGAACTTTTTCTTTTAAAAAAGTAAATGCAATTGTTAAAGTAAAAATAATTTACGGCTATTAAACATGTTTAATCAATAATCGTAACTCAAACTTCTCTAACTAAAAAAATAAAAAATGCAAAATATGCCAATTATAAATGGTATTTTATTACAGTGCGAAGAAAATTTGTGATGTCGATCAGTCGAGCGAGCATACTTCAACTAAGATTAGTGTGATTTACTTCATTCTTGAAAGAAATAAAACACCTTTTTTCAGTTCCCTGAACGGATTACTGTGCATAGTATCACAATTTTACATTTCTAGTTGAAATTTTTAAAATTGATTTTTGGTCGCCTGGATTAGCTAAATACTCCACTGTGAGACAATGAATTGCGAAACCAGCCATCGCGATTTCTCCATGTTCGCTAATCGGGTACTTTAAACTGGAGAAGAAGTGCAATGATTATGCCTTACCATATGTAGTTTAAATCAGATTTAATCCTGCTTAGTAAATGGTGACTGGTGCACGTCAAATCTGTTGGGTCACAAAGTCCAACATGTTCCCATAACAAATTATACCTCTGGGGGTACTGAATAGGAGATTGATGATTCTCTGGTTCAGGTTAAAATTACGATCTGTGAATGTATGAATGGGTTTGACCTATAAACGGGTGTCGAATTCTTGGGGTTCTTTACTNCAAGAACAATCGCACCCTTTACCTTAATGGCCAACGACAACAACAACATCAGATTCAGTTGGATTCCTGTAACGGACGTCACTGACGTGTGTCACACCTGATTGGTTTCTGAATTGACAAGTGCCATGATTTACCTAGAATGACGTTAGTACTGGTATCCAATTGTCGCATTTGATCTAAAGTTTAGTATTATTACCTGTTGTTTAAAGTTATAAACAGGGTTAGTCCTACTAAGCCTTCCAATAGTAAAATAGAAGCGAAGTTTAATATGGCGTTTTCTGGTAAAATTGAAGTGACATGTTTTTCACTTAATTTTAATAACAAAACAGTTGCCGACCGGTCTGTGTAGGGGGCAGGGAACTGTCCTTGAATCAGAAAGGTCCTAGGTTCGAATCCCGGGCAAGGCATGGATGTTTCTTTCTCTCTCTGTGTGTTCTATGTCCTTTCTCCTTTGTGTGTGAATGTGACCCGCCCTATAAACGGGTTGTGGTTGTGTGAATGGTGTAGCAGAGGTCGAATTCCTGGCCATAGATGGCGCCACTGAAAAACAGGAACAATCGCACCCCACTGCCTGAACAGGCATACGACAAAAAAAAAAATTGTTCATTTAAATTTATTATAGGTCTAGTTTGGATGCAAAATAATCGGTTTGATATAATGGCATAATTCAGTTTTAGTTTAATGCTTGTTAAACTGTAAAAAAATTAAAGATTGATTA